CTCCTGCCTCCACTTCCTGAGGGGCTGGGATTATAGGCATACAATCCATACCTGACAGGAATTTTATTCTTTCAATCTCTGAAAACTTGATTTGAATAACTTTTTATATCTTGCAGGCCTCTGCTTTATATACCTAAGTTTTACTATCTATCTGGTTCATAGAAATTAAAGTTATAATAACTGTCATTCTGTGGTTATTTTCTATAGATTTGTGTTTCTGTGCAATGTGGTCTTGATTCATGATTGGTAATTTCTGACTCTATGCCACCTATTGTAAATTTCATCTTACCAGATGGTAGATATGCTGTGTTCCTATACATAGTCTTGAACTATGTTCTGGGCTTCAGGCTTAGGAAATAGTTCGACCTTTGTGAAGCTTGCTTTGAAACTTTCAGAGTTAGACAAAAGCAGTTTTACTCTAAGGCTAATTTTGTCTCACTACTGAAGCAATACCTTCCTGAACACTTTGGCCCTGTGAATGACAAGATTTCTACTGTGGCTGGCAGAAACACAGCTGCATGGGACCTGAGGACTATTCCTTTGCTCCTTTCAAGTGGTTTCTTTCCATGAGCTCTGAATGTCTTATTTGTGCAGCTTTCTCCTTCTGGTACTCTGCCCTGGGAACTCTACCTTGGCCTGACCACACAAATCTCCATCTCCTCCCCTCAGGGAGACGACCTCACAGTGTGCTCCACTGGACTCACACAGCTTCCTTGCAACCCAGTGGGATGAGTGCCCAGCTGGAGCAATCTCCAAGCAATCACTATATCATCATTCCTTCTCCTGGTGCTCACTTTTACTACAGCATTTAAAAGCACTGAAATGCTTTGAAATTCCATCTCCTGAGAAGTTTTCTTTTCCTTTCTCTTCTTTTAAATACATACTGTGAACATTCTTTTCACTGGAATTTGTTTCCATTTGTCTTTTTTTTTTCCCCTTAGAATTTTTTCATCTCAGTGAAGTTTATGGGGTCCCTAAAGCCATGATTAAACTCAATAGTGAGTTCAGTCTTATGCTTCTTTAGGTGCTGTTCCCAATGACCTTGAGCAAACCACAAAGGGAACACAGAAACTGACCCTTGAGATGCTTGTATTCCTCAAGTATTGAGGAACTGGCCTTATCAGACTTAGCTGGGCGTCCATCTATCTGCTTTCCCATCTTTGAATTTACACTTTATGAATGTCAAATGATCAAACTGCTTTTCAGACTGATCATTTATTTGACAAAACTTGGTAGAAATTTTGAGCATTTCAATTTTAGTTAGGCTTTTTTTTTTTTTTTGATCGAAAAGACAGAAGCTCAATCAAGGCAACTCATAAAAAGGCTGTACATTATCCTGAAGATAATCATGGGATAATAAAGGAGACATGTAACTCCAAGAATGCACTTAGGAAAAAATAGGGAGTTGGAAGCAGAGCCATAGTTCTTGGATCTGCCCTCATGTTCCCACATATGTGGCTTAGCCAAACTTCACTTTCTACTTCTTTCCATCCTGCAACAACAGGCAAATTCTTTAATAGATTCACTTTTTTCAAGTCAAGTCCCAGAGTCATCAGGCAGATATCATCAGGTAGTTACTGTTAGGTTTGCCTTGAACCGGTGGTAGGATGGAGAGAAGTATGTCAAAGCTAAGTAATAAAATACATGGTTGCATCGAAGACAGGGGCAGTGGGTTGTGTTGTACCTTAGAAAGGTATTGATTAGGGCTGGGAATCTGGCTCAAGTGGGTCAGTGCTTGCCCAGCAAGTGGGAGGCCCTGGGTTCAATCCCCAGCACAGTATAAGAAAAAAAGGGGGCAATGATTAATGCCAAGATCTTTGGAAGGATCCAATACATAATACTTCTCTTCCTTTCCTGAATTATGAGCAAATTGAGAACTAAAACAAGAGTTAGACAGACAAGAGATCAAGTATTGTCTTTAACCCTGATAAAGGCTAAATTGGATGGCAAACCTTCAAATTAGGGCACATTAGGGCACAGAAGATCTGCTTGCTGACCTCCAGAATTGTGCGGACTTCCTCATTGGGTTACAGTGATCACTGGACCAAGCAGAACATCCCAGGTAGGGTGTCTTACTACATAAGACTATGGCACAGAAGAGCAGAAAAGAATCCCTGTTTCCTTTAGACAGATTGCTCCCAAGAGAAAAAAAAAAAGGAGACGTGAAGCCATGCATGACCCGTTTATTCTTCTTAGATTTGCCAGTGAGATTAGTCACTCACCCCCTACCCCCATTGCACCCCTGCAGTAGAGCGGAATAGAGAATAGAACAGTAAAGGAATGGAGGCCATACAGTAATTGAGTTCCCTTTTCCTGGAAGGAAACACCAAGAGGAGGAAAGACCTTTTTCCCCCCTAGCAGTTGGCACCTCTATCATAGAAAGAATAAGATAAATTGAACTGAAAAGTATTATTTTCCATACTTAGTAAACATAGTGATGGTTTAAAAGTCTTAACAAGATAAGAAATCCTCACTTTGACAAGAGAAGGGTTATTGGTAGGCATTCCCTGACTGATGAATGTCCATAAATACATATGTTCTATACAATTCTATAGCTCATTAGATCAAAGGGAGGGGGAATAGAAACCAGTGATCAAATCACATAATTAAATACCTAGATAGAATCTAGTAATCTAGATGTAAAAGTTTCAGCCAGGTTTACTTAGAAATATGCAAATTGTTTTAGACAGGTTCCGTCACTATAATGAGATGCCTGGGGTAATTAACTTGTGTTTTGGATCACAGTTTTGGAGATCCTGGTTCAACATCTGCCTACTGCTTAGGGCCTCTGGTGGGCATGCCCTGGACAGCTAGGGCAGAGAGGGTGCAGTGAAGCACAGTTGCACCTCATGGCCAGAGGAAGAGAACAGGATTCACAATACCCTCAAGTGCACACCCCCCAAGGCCTTGAAGACCTCCCACCAGGCCCTACCCCCTAAATAGCTCCACCTCCCAATAGCTCCATTTTAGGAACCAAGCAGACCTAGGCCTCTAGGGGACAGTCAACATGCAAACATAAAGCTGTGAAAAAGCTGATCCTGGTATGTTTTGAAAAGTAGAGGCTATCCTTTCCCAGTGGAATGCATCCTCTTACTTTTGATGAGAGAAGAATTCTGAGATGTCCTGAATTTAATTAAAAGAACTGGAGGAAGGAAAGAGAGATAGAGGAGGTTAATCAATCGACAGGTTGCTAGCCACAAAGAACAAAAGACCCCTTTGTCTTCTCGAATGCACATTAAAACCTTAATTCGAATCCCACCACCACCACCACCACCACCACCACCTCCACCCGTGCCACCATGCCTTACTTGTATACTTACCAATCCAGAAGCAACAATTGCTTCTCCTTCCTGACAGCTCTTCTCCCAAAGCTAGCCCCACTTTGCATTTTCCCACCTATTATCTATAGCCTCTTATCTGGAGCCTTCACTAAATAATTTATGCCTTTGTCCCCCAAATTTTCATCATAAAAAATGGTCTTGGTGCTGGTTGGATGAACATGTTCAACTTCTACCTGGCCTTGCTGCTGAATGTTGCAGGAACCTGCCCCAGGACAAGTTCCTTTTTCTGGCTAGCATCTACAGATCTATTTCAGAGATGCCCCAGTCTCAAGGGTTAAGATAAACCATGCTTAAATCAGCAACCTCAACATTGACTGTGTTATTGGTATTTAGTAATATTACTGAGCATCAGATAACTGATACCCAACTCCCCCAGCTTCCCAAGATAGAGTGGGCCTAGTTGACACGGACTTGGTAGACCTGTATTGGCCTTCCTGTGCTCACATCCCAGTGCCTGGTCACAGGTCATGTGAGCTTGCGGTATTATTTAACCTCTCCAGTCGCAGCTTTCCCTTCTGTAAATGGGGTTAATAATAGAACCTGCCTTGGGATTGCTGTGAGGACGGGATGGATTATGCATGTAACATTTAGCACTGTGCCTGTAGCTAGTTTTGCCTGACAAGTGTTAGTACTAAAGATTACATAGAAGAAAGTGGTGCTTATTGTGGTAACACTAGAGTAGGAAAATGCTTACAGTGCTTTCATCTGTGAACAAACAAGCCTAGAAAACACTCAGCTTGATTTAGTTTAGCATATGAAAAAAATAGTAATCTGTGATCAACTCATGTATGCTACTAATTGTATAACCACTAAATCAAAGGTCTTTAGTATAACACCCTTATGATTTTCCACAGAAATTTGTCTGCTTTATTTTTACTTCTCACTCCTCTTACACTTTAATGTCATGCCTGTGTTTTTCTTTCTCTTATTTTATTCAACTAAACATGAAAATACAAATCAAGTTTAAAATGTTATCTAAAATTCTGTATTTCTTCTTAATTAAAATGGCATATGGTAGCACACACTGTAATCCCAGCTACTCCAGAGGCTGAGGGAGGAGTATCACAAGTTCAAGGCCAGCCTGGGCTATATGAGAAGACCCTGTCTTTAAAAAAAAAAAAAAAAAAAAAGCTATGCAATAAATGAATGAAGTAGGGTGTTATGAAGTGATGTAGAAACTTCTCCCATATGTAATGATTATGGAAAGGAAAAAAGTAGCAGGATAATGTCTAGTGTGATCTCATTTATGAGAGAGAGAGAGAGAGGAGAGAGGCCAGGCAAGGCAAGTTCTGGAAGAATCTTTCTGAAACCATTATCAGGCAGAAATGGGAATGAGACTGAGGAAAGGAAGAAACAGAATAAGGAGCAGAATAAGTGGGATATTTTTAATTTTTGCCGTAGCTACTTTTGCACCGTTTGAATGTTAACAAGAGATGTGCACTGCTAAGAACTCTAAGGGGGAAATGGAGGGAAGGAGATACTGTTTGATCCGTCCGTTGAATTGAACTCCTTTCTTTCTTCTTCGGATTTGGTCACCTAATAAAGTGTGCTCCTCCTCCTAGCTGCAGGCTTGGTGGTGGTTTTAAGTAAAAGTTCCGAGAGAAAACCGAGCTGGGTGCCGGTGCCCTCTCTGCTTCACTGTGCTGTGCTGTCCCGCAGGCGGCCTTGCGCGCCTCCATCGCGGCTCGGGACTGCGCGGCGGCGGCGGCCATGGTCTTCCTGATGGACGATTTCCTCTACGGGCTCGACGCCTCGGGAAAACTCCTGCAGGTCGCCAAAGGCCTCCACAAGCTGCAGCCGGCGACGCCAATCGCCCCGCAAGTGGTCATTCGCCAGGCCCGCATCTCGGTCAACTCAGGTATGCCCAGTCCTGTGGGTGGCTGGGGCCTTGACCTTGACCTTGACCTGGGATGCCCGCGGGCATCGGTCCCTGCGTGCCACCTCGGCCCGCGCCTCCAGCCCGCGCCGGCCCTTGCACCCGCCTCTACCGGCACAAAGGCCCTGGCATAAAGGGTGTCAGAGCCAAAGGCAGTAGAGAAAATTGTGAAAGGGTGTGGAAAATACTAATTGGAGCTTTTGTCTTCTAACAAATCCGTCCTGCTGCTTTCAAACAGGGGTATCTGAATTGCTGTACTTCTGACCAAGAGCTTTTAAAAAGCAGATTAGAATTCTAGTATTTTCTCTTAGCTCTCCTGTCCTCTTTCTGTAGGGCCACTTGACTAAGCTAACAATGGAGCTTCCAAACCCACTGAAGCAATTTGAGGGTTTTTTAAAAAATCATTCACAACACCAGTACAGTACCTGATTAGGTCTGAAAGTATCTTTTTTCTCCCCTGTCACTTTGAATGAGATGAAAAATGAGGCTGACAGTCCAACTTAAGATGTAGAGTGGAGGGGGCTGGAGGGAAGAGGGGGCCTGTGATGTGTAACAGCAAAGCCCACCCCCACAGAATCCTGGAATTACTTAAATTACCGATAACCATTCCATGTAGAAATGTGCAGCCTCCTGGCTGCTCTCATTTCCAACAGTGAAAGACAAATGTGTGAACACAGAAGGCGACTTGCCCCTCCCAGAAACAGGACTGGCTCTTTTCTTGCTTGGTTTTAGCTATTGCTATAGTTTTCAATAACTCTTATCTGTAAGAGATTTAAGAGAAGGGAAGATGGTAGTACTCTTTGAGCACTTCACTTCTTTTGAAAAGGAACTGTATTAACTATACTAAGTGGGACAATGGCTGAATGCAGAAGGGACAGAGATGAAAGGATGTGGGAGAAATGGCTTGTGGAGGTCACCTTCTCAAAGCTCAAGTTCACCTACTTTCAGGTTCTCCCACCTGCTCATAAATTGTGCTCACACCATATTATTGACTTCTAAAATAATTACAGGGACATAATTGAAGTTAGGGGAAAAAAGTCTTCTTTCAAATATTCCTGATAGCACCTGTAACATTTAGGGCATGAGGGAAACCTAGCAACTAGTATTCCTTTTTGGTGGTGTCAGATGGCAATGACATGGGCGGAGCATCTGTGGGAGGGACATAAGGAAGAGGGCTGAGGCAGAGACATGGTTGTAATATTGGTTCTCATCAAGAACTTGAACAGTTACATCACATATTTTGCAATATCCAGAGTAGCTATGATGTAGCATGAAAGTCAAGGTCAAATGTAAGCTGTTATGTTGATGGCTTTACTTTTACACAGCCGAGCTAATCTGTTAAGTTTTCTTTTCTTTCTTTCTTTTTATTTCCCCTGTGGTAGTGGGTTTGAACTCAGGGCCTCATGCTTGCTAGGCACACACTCTAACACTTGAGCCACTCTGCCAGCCCTTTAATTGTGTTGGGATTTTTCAGATAGGATCTCACAAAGTATTTCCCTGGACTGGCCTGAAACCATGATGCTCTTGGTCTCTGCCTTCTGAAAGACAGAGCCACTGGCGTCCCACTTCAGTTTTCTTTTGTTTTGCTATTTCTCTCATGTCTCCAGCAAGGGTGGTAGAACATTTTCATCCTGAAAACGTTGATATTGAGCAAACCTCAATATCATCCGGAATGCTGTGCTTCTCTACTCACATGATTATTTGTCACAGATAAAGGTCCTATTTCTCAGCATTCGAGGTTGTCATTTCCTCAAAGATGTTAGCAAAGGTGCCACAAGAAGGCACAGCCCCAGAGTTAAGTCTTCCATGTGTAAACTGCTGCTCTAAAATGTATCTGGAGCCTCCCACTACACTGGAAAAAGAGAGACATAGAGACAGATATAAGAGAGAGAGAGAGGGACAGAGAAAGAGAGAGAGAGAGAGAAAGAGAGATTTAAAATGGATGTGAGCTGGCTGCGGGTGGCTCATGCCTGTAATCCTAGCTACTTGGGAGACTGAGATAAGGAGGATTCTTTGAGGCTAGGCCAAGCAAATAGTTTGCAAGACTCTATCTCCAAAATAATCAGAGTAAAATGTACTGGAGGTGTGGCTCTAGTGGTAGAGTGTCTGCTTTTCAAGCACGAAGCCCTGAGTTCAAATTCCAACCCATCAAAAACAAAAAAACCCACAGAAATAATTTTTTTTTTAAATGTGTGTGTAAGGATTAGGGGTGTGAGGGTTAAGGAAAAAGATCAGTGAGGGGGCTACTCAATTCCAGCCTTTGGCAACCCTGGAGTGGAAAATGAGAGGGCTTATATTGCATTATAAGGAGTAAGTAGGAGCAATAAGGGGAAAGGCGAGGACAGCATAGTCTGTGACACCTTTGATCCAGCTCTTCCTGGTATCCATCCAAACACTCTCCAAAGTGCCAACATATCAACATAATAGGAGGCCAGAGGCAAGAGCGACTCCTTGGCCTGCCCATCTTACTCTTGGTTGAAACTAGGACCCAAACCTTTCAAACCAGAGTGACAGATAAAGGCTCAGACTTCCTATTCTATCAACACGAGAATCTTAACCCAGTACAAACACATACATAAGGTGAATTGAAAGAATATTTTGAGGTACTTGTAACATAGAAGGTGTTCAAAGGCAGCAGATCATACTACTGCTCACAACATTTACAGCCAGAAGGGTTTACCCTTGGGCATGTTAATCCCTCTGCAGATTACAGGCTCACAAGAGAAATGAAATATTGTCATAAAGCTGGAATTCTTAAGGGTTTGCACAGGCTGTGAAAGGGGCCCAAAGTTTTCCACCAGCCCTCTGGAAAAGGTTGCAAAGCTTGTTTTCTGCCCCAGCTCTGAGACAGAGACAAAACATACAACAAGTAAACGTCCTTCCCAAAACAAATAAAAATCCTTGTCTGTGCCAAATCTGAGTGTGCAGTCAGAATTTTCCTTAACAACAAGGGAGAGTCCCTCATCAAGTAATTAAGAAAAAAAATTCAATACTGAAATTTCTGGGGCCCAGGAAAAAAATCAAGGACAAAACTATGCTCTGGAAATGTTCACACTCCAGGCACAGTAATCCCACAGGAAACTATTCTTGGCTTATATTAAAATTTGTAAGTAATACAAGGAAATGAAATATATGGAAGATCAAGGTCATATACAACAAAGAAGAAAAAAGTGGAAAGGAATGAAAATAACCTGACTCATATGGTTTTAAAAATAGTATGTTTACAAATTGGCAGAGTGACTCAAGTGGTAGAGCACCTGCTTAGCAAGTGCAAGGCCCAGAGTTCAAATCCCAGTGCTTCTGTACCCTTCACCCCAAAAATAGTATCTTTAGAAGAATAGAACACAACAGGAAAAGAAATTAAATTCACTAACTTTAAAAAGAACTAAATAGAACTTTCAGAAAATAAAACACTATAGCAATTGAGATAACAAACGAATGTGGTTGTCTGAAAGTTACAGTAATTGCTGTGGTGTTGCCCACAAAACAAGCAGAGAATACTCATTTTCTTGCAGACACAGGACACAAGAATTTAGCCACAGAACTATGGCTAGAAAGAGCCAAAAAAAACAGCAGTCTTCCTAGTGGGTGGAATGAGGTTTTGGCATTTCAAGTGCTGAGAAGGATACTCACTTGCCAAAGAAACTGAGCCACTGGTGTGAATACAAGAAAATAACTCATTAGAAAAATGAAATAAAAAATAAAGATACAAAAATTCAAGCCTGAAGCATTTATTACTAGCTTCAGATGTTGTAAAATTATTTTGGTAATGCTTATGCCGATTTCTAAATGCTCACACTCAGTTTTTCAATAAATCTCATTTCAAGTCAGTCACAAAAAGGTTCCACTAACCGTGCTCCAGAGCAGTGCTTCCTTACCTTCTGTGTGCCTGCAAAGCCCCTGGAGATCTGATTAAAATGTAGGTTCTGATCCAGTAGGCTGGGGGCAGGGCCTGAGATTCTGTGTTTCTGACCCACTAGAAGATGACACTCAAAGATGAGGTCTGTGGACCTCACTGGAGTAGCAAGGGGACCTTTGCTAACCTAAATACCTGGTTCCAGTATAGTTTATCTTATAAATAAGGCAATGACCTTAAGATCACGGTAAGTTTCCTAGGGCCAGTTTCTCAGGTGTTCCAACCCTGACCTACCTGAAATGTATTCCTGGAACAGGTTTAACAGCAGGACAAAAACCTATGGAACCTAAAACTGCACATAAAGAAAACACTGAGGAAGGTTAGAGATGCAACTCAGTGGTAGAGCACTTACTTGGTATGCACAAGGTCCTGGGTTCAATCCCCAGTACTGCAAAAGAAATGAAGCAAGAAGGAGGGAGGGAGGGAAGAAGGAAGGAAAGAAAAGAAAATGTGACAATGAAGCAGAATGATTTAAACATATAAAAATATGAAAGAGAATTGAAAAAGCCCAAAGAGAATGAAAAGGAAAACCCACTGTTGAAATTACCGTAAGAAGGAGACTAGTAGAAACCGAAGGTATGAACCAATTCCAGTTATAATACATGTGTGCATGGAAATATCATAGTGAAACTCCCTGTATAGCTATCTTATACAAACAAAAATTCCCTTTTCTTCAAAAACAGAGGACAAGAAAGTAAAACAAGTCCTGTCTGGGGGTTCATACCAGTTGGAGCAGGAAGGACATAAGGGAAGGGTGTAGGAAGTTGAATGTGGTGAACATATTCTGTACTCATGTATGAAAATGGAACAATGAGACCTGTTGAAACTATTCCAGGAGTGGGGAGGGGGATAAAGGAGAATGATGGAAGGAGTGAATCAAATATGATATACTGTAATAACTTTTGTAAATGTCACAATGTTCCCCCAGTACAATAATAATAATAATAATAAAAATAATGTGATAACATTTTTAAAAAGAAAATGCACATAAGTATAATAGAACTTCTGGGAAAACTGATTAGATTCAAAACTGGGGAAAATATGTCTTTACATTGAGGAAATATGTCTAACTTACACACACACACAAAATTTTTAATCCACACCTAGACACAGTGTGGTAAAACTACAGAAAATCAAACAATACTAAAATTCTAAAGGAAGCAAAGAGAATAGATTATTAACATATGAACTATATTTAGGCTGACAGAAAGCGTTTTATCAGTCATAACTGTCTAGAAAAAAGCAATATAATCTATACAACATTGAGAGGAACTCATTTTTTTAACTGTTTCTTCTCTTTATTAAATTGTTCAGAATTCACAAAGAATATCAACATGCTATTTGCTTTGTAAAAACACTACCAATACATTTGAAAGGAACTCATTCTTAACCTAGCATTTTACACTCATCACAGCCGTGATTCAAAAGTAAGGACAAAATAGACATTTTCAGACAATAATTAACAGTGGTTATTACTCTCAAAGACACTCAAAGACATCTCTCTATTTTTCTCTCTCTCTCTCTCTCTCTCTCTGTCTCACACACACACACACACACACACACACACACACACACACACACACACACACACACACAGAGGTATATTTTCCTAAGGAGGAAATTAAACTAGAAAGACAGACCTCTTAGTGCCCAGACAAGATAAGGTATACAGTGACACTTCTGCCACATGCTATTGGTTAAAACAGGTCATGAGGCCAGTTCATGTTGAAGGAGAGGGGAAATAAACTCTGGACTTCACTTCTTAATGGCAGAATAGTAAGGTCACGTTGCAAAAGAAAGTGTGGGTGGAAAATATTCTTTGGAAAGACAATCTACACAGCCAGAGTATACGTCTATGTGTGCAATTTGAAATAATGTGGTCAGTGAAGGCCTTAGGAGACAGTGCCATTTAAGCAAAGACCTGAAGAAGGAAAGAGAGCTTTGGAGCTACTTGGGATGATGGCAGTTCAGGCCAAAGTATTTATAAGTACAAAAACCCTGACGTGAGGACAAACCTGGCAGGTTGTGGGGACCATAGGAGGCCACTGTAACTGAAGGAGAGGGAATGACAGAGCAGAAAGAACAGGAGGAGACATACCACAGAGACCGCAGATTACATAGGGCTTTGGGGAACCTGGAAAAGGCCAAGTGACTGGGTCTTCAGCCTGTGGAGAACTGCTGTCCTTAGACAAATCCCTCATATGTGGAGGTAACCAAAACAGGTAGAAAGTCTTTTCAAAACCCTAAAACTCCCCACTCCCTGGCTGCAAATCCCTTTGTGATAATTCTGTAAATACTCCTGTTCGTGGGTAGCTCTACTCTACCAATTGAGGTCCACCTTTCACAGAGAGGAGACAGCCTTTCACAAAGGTTTGCCTCTGTGACTCAGGCTGTGCTCCGTGTGGATAACATGTGTGTATGAATCTTTCATTTCAGATACTCTGTACCTTCCCATCCTGCCAGCTCCTGAAAACTTCATCTTTCTCAGTATTATATATATATTAGTTACCAACTTTAAACTTTAAACTGGAATATTTCCAAGAAAGGTTATGACCCCTGTTAAATGCATGAATCTTAGAGCATGAAGTATTTGTGCTTTTTAAGGTATATGTTCAGCCGGGCATAGTGAGACACACGTATAATTCCAGCACTCAGGAGGCACAGGCAGGAGGATTGTGAGTTCCAGGGTCAACCTGGATTACCTAGTGAGACTCTATCTAAAAACACCAAAAAATAAATATAAATAAATAAATGAATGGAGAGAGAAGAAAGGAGGGAGGAAGGAAGGGAGAAAAAGAAAATGTTTGGGACTAAGTGTGTGGCATTTTCTTGCTTCTTTCCAGGGAAACTTTTAAAAGCAGAATATATCCTGAGCAGTCTAATAAGCAACAATGGAGCAACAGGTGAGCACTTTTGTTTTTTGGTAGTACTGGAGTTCAAACTCAGGGCCTTGCACTTGCTAGGCAGGCACCTTACCACTTGAGCCACTCCCCCAGTCCCAGTGATCTTCACATCTTCACAATGACTCTGACCCTCAGCCCCTCCACAGCTCTAACTTAATGCCTGCTCCATGCCCTCGTTCTTCCTCTACACTAGATGTTCCCAGAACTACCTGGAACTACCTCTATGCTGATGAATGAAGTGAATGTGTTTCTGTTCTTTCATTTCAAAAGCAAAACAAGAATCAGGCTTTTAGTACCTCCTGCTTCATTATAGAGGCTGTTCTCTACTGCACAGTAGCTGTTAGGACAAATAGTTTCTGGGTCCCAGAAAGGGCTCGATAGCAACCTTTAAACAAATTGTGACTGGAACTCAGGAAGACAAATGCAGCATTCTCCCTCTCAAATGCAGAATCCAGATTTTTTTGGTGGCCCTGGGACTTAAACTCAGGGCCTCATGCTTGCTAGGCAGGTGTTCTTACCACCAGATTTTTTTTAGAAAAAGATATAAAAATAGATAGGGAACCATTTGGGGAGAGAAAGGGGACCAGCAGAAGTGGGGAGAGAGGACAAGAGAAGGTAATGGGAAGAGGTGAAGATGACCAAAATACATTACATTTTTTATATATGTACATATGTGTAACATATACGTATATGTATAACATACATACACATGTGTATATGTGAATATATAACATGTATATATACATATATATGAAACTATGAAAACATTACAATGTTATAATGAAACCTGTTATTTTGTACCGTTGATATTTGCTAATAAAAAAAAATTGTGACTGGGAATTAAAGCCTCTAAGTTCAGAAGAGCATGCCTGTGGTTTGGAAAATGAAGTTTAGTGTGCTGTATAGAAAGTTATTTTGAAATGAGTTTCCTTTCAATATCCAATCATCTATGAAAAGAAGCAATCCTAATAGTTGTGTAACAAATCATTTAAGCCTTCAGATATCTTGTTGGAATTTCTGGGTATTTAAGTCAACAAGTTTTCCAATAAGTTGAGCACAGTTTTCAGTGGACTTTGTAGTGCAATAGTCTTGAAACTTATGTGTATTTCTAGAAGGGATACAACTTGGAATGCAAACTCATTTTGGCCATTGTCACTAACTTACAATATGCACACTTGCTGTCTTCTACATCCAACGTATACACAGAGAGAGGGAAAAGGAGAGGCAGAAGGAGATTAAGAGCTAGAAAGAAAATAGTAACAATGTGACAGAGAATAATAGAGTGTGCTATACAGTCTGGCTATTTTTGACCACTGACAAGCCCTAACCTTCCCCTTTCCCTTGCCCCACACTGGACAGGTTGACTTAAAAGCAAAAAGAATGACAACAACAAAACAAAATCCAACCTACTCATCCACACACTCCAGCCCAACTTATCAGAACCTTTACCCCGTCCCTTCATCATAATCAATAAAAACCAAACCCACTGGTCACCTCCACCACTCAAGTCAAAGGACCAGCTTAAGCGCCAGCCCTGCTCTCTCTAGAGTATCTCAGCGTGAGAGCAATGAATCCTCTCGTGCTCTCGGTGTTTGTGTGGAGTCATTAGTTTCAATGCACAAACCAATTTTGGGCAGCTGGGAATGACACTGACCTCTGTGAGGCAGACACAAGTCTGTGGGTAAATGAATCCAGGAGGCCTTTGAGCACTGAAGCCAAGACCTGAAGCAGGAGAAGAAATTGACCTCTTAAGAAGCCAGAGGAAAGAAGAATAAGTCAGCGCAGATGTCACCAAGAAAGAGACCACTGTCATTGTAGGGAATGCAAATGAAGCCAGCAGGAACAGAGTGCAGTTACAAACAGGAGAGTTGGTGACAGAACAGAAGCAATTCCTGTGGAGCCTTGCAGCTTGGATCTTATTCTAAATATAGAGATAAGACAGTCTCTCAAACCATGTGTATTCACAAAAGGGTCTATGAAAATAGGTTTATTTTACCAGGGTATTTCCTTAATAATTCTGGGCATTTTTTTTCTTTCTTTTGTTTTAGGTACCTGGCTGTACAGGGAGGAAAGTGATAAGATCCTGGTGCAGTCAGTCTGCATACAGATCAGAGGGCAAATTCTGCAAAAGCTAGGTACTGATATCAGTCTCCTCTCTGCTCAAGGCTCCCTCACGACTAGCTCCAACACTTTTACTGTGGAATTTTCTTATTGCATCTGGCTAAAGTCATTGATCCCTACTTCCCTTAGTTTCATCATTGAAGAGAGAATGACATTTAGGACACCAGGAACTGAGCCAAGGCTAGGGCAGGAGGATTGCTTGAGCCCAAGAGTTGAAGACCAGGCTGAGCAGCATAGGGAGACTCCATTTAAAAAAATAAATCATGGAAGTGTTACATGAATATTAATAAAATACTTTTCTTCTCTTGAGTTTTGTTAGAGAAGTTGTGTATTGTGACTGTGAACTATAGAGTTTTCAGTATTTTTCCTAACCCATGACTCAGCTCGGCAGGACCTTGTAGGACATAGGGACCCCTGATTCTAAATCCACCAAAACACCTTCCTTGTTCATTCCTTGGGGTAATCATGAATTTTTCAATCAAAATTTATGAAACCTAATTATACTTTAAAGTGAAAACTAAAGGGCTTGAAAAATTTTTAGAAGATGATAATTATTCTTGTAAATAATGAAAATAGCTATATGTGATATAGTATATCACATATGGAATATAAAATAATTGTTACTGTTTCCCAGTGAAATAGGAAAACTATCTGTATTAAACTGACTGGGAAAACAAACTGCTGTGTCAATCTAATCTAGCCCTGAGTTTTCCTACCAGGGTTCAATGATGCTTCTTTCTATATTAATTTTCAAAGGATTTTCTTACACAAAAGCACAGAGGCTATCAGTTTCTCTCCAGCCCTCTTAGTTTTTGGTTTTTCTGTTTGTTTTTAGGCATGTGGTATGAAGCAGCAGAGTTAATATGGGCCTCGATCGTAGGATATTTGACACTTCCTCAGCCAGATAAAAAGGTTGTATGTCCAGTGATTTTTTTTCCCATTATTTGTCTTTGGATAATTATTTCCTATGGCACAATTAAGTTTGTTATTTATCAATTTCATCTGTCCTATTCTTATTTATTCTGAGCATAGGACCAGAAGAATTTAGTAACTTCCTTCTGTTACTTCTGCTCCATTCTTTCTCACAGTTAAGACTCTTGGCATGTATTTAATATCTCTGTAGTCACTCATAACTGTTTACTTACTTATCTCTTCTGGTCTGCTTATCTATCTACCTTATCATATATGGAACCTAATTCTTAATTTCATAGCAAAGTTGAGATGGTCAAGTTCTTATATGTAAAATCATTTTTTCTTGAGTTGAGTTCATTGTTTATGCAACTCTCTTAAGAAATTGAATCACCACCTTGACTTTCCTACCTGACATTTTCCTTCTCTGTAATTTGGTGGGAACATTCTCCTCATTATCTGAAGCCTCAGATTGCTTATTCTACTTTCAAGAGTTGTGTCAGCAGTGTTGCTGACTACAATCCTTTAACAACAATCCTTTTAGAGAATGAGATGAGCAGTCTCTTTCTTGGACCAATTATTCAGGCCTAGCACTGTAGACAAGTGAGTGCTGATAATCCAGCTGAAACCCAGCTAAGAAATATCAATGCTTCCCATTGGTCCTTGTATCTCAAGATGTGACTATCTTCTAAGCCCAGTGATAACCAGTTCAAAAAGCATATCCAATGTCATGGTTATAATAATAATAATAACTAAAATAATAGACAAATGGCTCATATATAGGGTTAATCATTGAGTTTAGGCCATGAGATAAGAGCAGTAATCAACCCTGAATTCCAGTTTGACTTGTGTTTTCCTTACAGGGCATTTCCACATCACTGGGTATACTGGCAGACATCTTTGTTTCCATGAGCAAGAAAGATTATGAAAAGTTTAAAAGCAATCCACAGATTAACTTGGTAATTATCATTTGTCAAAAAATATGGTTCAGTGTGGCATCACCTAGACAACTGTCAACATTAATCTTGATGTTGGGTAGTCAACCTCTTTCCAGGAGAGTAGGGGATGGAGAACACACAGTCTCCCCTCTCAGATTAATGTGATCAGACCTGGGGTAGATCCCACACTGTCCTATTTAGCTTTGCTGTCCAACCAGCTAGCACAGATCAGACACACACAGGGACACTCCAAAAAGTTCTGGTGAATGAATGAATGAATATAATCAAAGTGATTTTGAGTCCTATTTATTTCCTTTCAAATTATCACAAAATTCAGTATCCAAACTTGGGCCATCTTGATGATAAAAGGGTGAAGATTTAAAAATCCATCACTATCTATTGAAATCAGTCCGTCAGTCCTATTCCAGGATCTTATCCTTAATAATTATTGCTAATGTTTATGTATCACCTTACAACTCAAGAAATGTGTGCATATCCTCAGAAAACCTGTGCGATAAGTAGAACAAAATGTATCATTCCCATTTTAGAGAAGAATAAACTGAGGTCCAACCAAGGGATCTCAACAGTTTAAAAACCAGTAAAAGAAAGAATTGGAAGCAGAACCTGGGTATCTGATAGCCCTGGAACACTTCTCTCCAAGCAGCACTGAAATTAAGATTTTTGCTATTATTATCTATATTGTCATTTTATTAAATACCCAAAATGACAATAGTAGCCATACTTCATATTAATTAGTGTAACAGGAGAACACATACAACTTACTGCTAATAATATGAGTCTTGGTAAGATGGTACTTTTTCTGTCAGACCAAAACAAGAAAAGGGTCATGCCCCTGTTCAGCAACATTGCTCCTGATAAAAAGTTTAAAATTACAAACTTCCTTCCCACTCTGCATCTCCCCAATCTCTTGTCCTCTTAATTTTTCTCCAGAACATGTGTCACTTAGGAATTTTACTTATTTTATGTATTGGCCCTCCCTGGGATAGAAAATAAGCTCATTGCAAGCTCACTGTCTGCCATCTTCCCAAGTCTAGAACAGTGCCTGGCCCATGGAGGTACTCAATACATATTTCTAGAATGAATGACTGAATGAATCCTCATTGTTGTGAGATCATCAAAGGTGCTTTGCCAAGAACATTGCAGAAGTCATTAGTTAATTTGGTTGCAAAATGTGCAGAACTCCTATGAACAAAGAACTGCACCATTTTCCTGAGATGCTCCTCTGGCTCACTTTACTCAGGCAGACATTGTGGATTTTTGCACATATGAGGTGCTCTTTGAGGGGTGTGGGTAGAAGACTGGGGTTGTGAGATGCTGGGGAGAAAGAATGGTCAATGCCCTAGAGTCTTCTTTCTTAGCAGTCTTCTGACAGGTTGGTGTTCAGGAGCAAGGGATCCCTCCGAATCTTGAGAGAAGAAACAAAGGAATTTCCTGGCCTGGTTTTACTAATGAATAAATAATAACCGCTAGTCCTTTGCTTCTGGTGTTCTCACAGGGCTTACTCAAGGAGTTTGACCACCATTTACTGTCGGCCGCAGAAGTCTGCAAGCTGGCAGCTGCCTTCAGTGCTTACACACCTCTGTTCGTGCTCACAGCTGTGGTAAATAGACTGCAGCCCCCTCTTGTCCCCTCCCCAGCTTGCTGTCCCATGCAACCTGTGGAAGGGAAAGGTCTGAGCTTAAAGTAGGCCTCATGCTTCATGGTTGGCAATTGTGACAAGACTTGTGAAAAAAAGTGGTGTCAGTCAGAGTGGCCATGTCCTGGTGGGAGCTAAGTTAATTCAACCCAAAGTACATAATGTTTGTTTCAGAACAATGGTTCTCAAGCCTAGCAGTACATCAGAATCACCGGACGAGCCTTTTCAAAATACATATGCCGAGGCTCCCTCCTACGTCCATTAAATACAAATTTCTGAGACTGAGAGCCAGAAATCTTTCATTGTGAAATGCAATCAGTCTTCCCTAGCCACAGGCTCCACATCTATACAGTCAGCCTACCTAGGATCAAAGATGTTTGAAAAAGAAAGTTGAGTCTGTACCAAACATATACAGACCTTTTGTTCTTATCATTATTCCCCAAGCAATGCAGTATAGCAAGTATCTACACTGTATTAGATATTGTAAGTGATCTAGGGGTGAGTTAAGCAGATGCAAATTGTGCATCTGTTCTTGTAAATTCTACAGTTGATCTCCTGTGGGATCCTGGAACCAATCCCATATAGATAATTAGGGGCAACTCTGTTGCCCAAGTGATTCAAAGGCACAGATGGATTTGAAACCCACTTCTCTGTTTGGGCTGCTATTAATTGAGTTGCTGTTTATACACAGCAACCTTATTACCTAGAGAAACTTACGTCCATGTCCTATGTATAGACTGCTAAAACTAACAGCAGCAAAGGTCACAAATCCGTCATCAAGAAGTAGCAGGACTACAATAGGATGAAAATTAAAGCTAATTTCTTGCCCCTTATACCAGTCAGTTGTTTACATTCCAATTCTTCTTCCCATTCACCAAAAAGTCCCTAATTCAGTGTTGGCTCATTTTCATTACAATATCTGTGGCATGTGTTTACTTTCCCATAATATTTCAAATGTTTATTCTCTAGGAATGAAAAGTTTGTCTTGATTCACATCCAGTTTTCAATTCAGTATCTGATTTTTGCATTTGGTATTTTCCTTAGAACATTCGTGGCACGTGCTTGTTGTCATATACTAGTTCCAATGACTGTCCTCCAGGCATGAAAATTTTGTATCTGTGTGAAGCCAAAGAAGCCTTTGAGATTGGCCTCCTAACCAAGAAAGACAACAAGCCAGTTACTGGAAAACAGGAGCTCCACAGCCTCATCAAAGCTGCTTTTGGTCTCACCACAGTGCACCGAAGACTCTGTGGGGAGACTGATGCAGTCTATGCGGCGAGTCAGCTCTGTAGTGAAGCCATGGGGAAGCTGTATACCTTCAGTACTTCCTCCAGAACTCAGGACAGAGAAGCCCTGTCCCAGGAAATCATGTCTGATATCAGCCGGGTAAAGAATCATTTACAGGTTCAAAGCTTTTCAAATTTAGACGACAGGTCTTATGTTCCAGAGAGTTTCAAGTGTGGATTGGATAAGCCTATCTTGCATGGGCATGTGAATTTCCAAAAAATCCTTGAAACCTATTCACAGCACCATACTTCAGTGTGCGAGGTTTTTGAAAGTACTTGTGGAAACAACAAAGATAAGCAGAAAGACACAAAAACAGGAGTCTGTATCACAGCTCTAAAAACAGAAACAAAAACCATGGATACTATGAGTGCCTCTCAAGACAAACCAGGCTCTCAAGAAGGCCGGGGAGTAACTTCCTCTCCAGTGGCTGAAGAGGGTCAAGAGAAACTCAGGAGGACAGGAAGGAAAAACTGGATCCATTCTGATGCATTTCGAGTCTCCCTCGATCAAGGTGTAGAGACGGAGACAGAGCCACCGGAGTACAGCAATGGAAAGGGAGGGATTTTGAACAAGTCCTTGAGTGACAGCCAGAGCTCCAGTAGTTGGAGCAAGTTATCAGGGCTTAGTTCTTCCACAAGCTGGGAGGAAGTAAATTACCATGTTGAGGATAAGTCACTGAGAAAAGAATCTAGCAAGGAAGACCATCTTGTGGACACTCAGTGCTCTACCGCCTTGTCTGAGGAGCTGAAGAATGATAGGGATGGCGGAGCTATGCACTCGCTGTCTTTAAAACTTCATAATCTGCCTCTCCAGGCAACCAAGGATGGTAGTTTAGAGTCTTCTCAAACTCAACCACACACACACATTCCCTTGACAACCTTCCCTCTTCACAACACAACAAACACTTGCTTGGCCTCTGATACAGGGCTATTAGAAGGAACTCCAGAGGGTAATCAGGAAGTTAGGAATGTGCAACCCAGAACTACTCCTGCCCACTCCAGACCCTCAGGTATTGCTGCTTCTTGGTTTTCATCTGGTTCTGGTAAACGTAAGCACATGGCCACATATCCTTCAGTCCCAGAAGAAGAAGCCTTTGAGATAATTGACAATTTTTCAGAAATCAAATATGACTTCCAAGATAAACATGGGGAAGAGAGGCAAAAAGAAATCAATGGGAGATTTACAGGCCTTAAATTAAAAGATAGCCCCTCTTGGGTGGACCCAGAAGGAGAAACAGCAGAAGGCACAGAAGATGAGCCCTTAGCCTCTCGTACAATCATGGGAGGTTTTCAGGGCAACCATTCTATGTTGGCACGTAGCTCCTTCACTCCTCACTGGCCTAGTCAAAAGCAAAGCCCAGGAAAGACTGGAGGCTCAGTCGAAGAGCAGGATATTCACCCCGATGCTTCTACAGTGGATAAGGATGGCCAACTTCTGGACAGCACAGATATTTGCTCCCCTGGTGGATATGGCTCTGAGGCTCAGAAACCTTATGCTTTGAGGCAGTCACCTGCTCAGAGAGCCCAGACCCCCAGTTCCTCTGCAAGCTGTAACACTCCCTTCCCTGTCCTCAGTGAAGACTGTGCCACCACAGAGGAAGGAAACGAACCTGGAAAACTGCTAAGCTGTAGCCAGAACTCCAGCTCATCCCTGTGGTGGCTGAAATCACCTGCATTTTCCAGCAGTTCTTCTGAGGGGGATAATTCATGTTCCTTTCTGAATTCCAGCAGAAGTTCTTTTGTTTCATTGCCAGGAAAGACTAGGCAAGAGATCCTTGAGGCTCGCACCCTGCAGCCTGATGACTTTGAAAAACTCCTAGCAGGGGTAAGGCATGATTGGCTGCTGAAGAGACTGGAGAACACAGGTGTTTTTAAGCCCAGTGAACTCCAACGAGCACATAGTAAGTACAACCTCGCCAGTTGGTACAGCCTCAGGAAGCATCCATGTTTGGGGCCCTCTGAAGAGCCTGCATGTAGACCACCTAAAACTCATGAGAGAAATACTATGCCTTGTGAGTTCACAGAGAACTGTGTACTTCACAGACATACTTCACTTTTTTTGTGATGGAAGTTAATGGTTGCAAAGAGGAGAAACTGGCTCAGGTCTCCTCATGTATCAGAGGTTTGCTATAAGGCCACATGAGGCAGAAAGGGAGGCAGAAATCTCAGAGCACTTGGGCAGAGCCATCACGCAGGACTTTAAACAGCTCTTCATATCAACCCATCCACTTGGTATCTATCTTCTCCATCTCTTTACCAACCAGCTGATGTCTCTGTATTTTGTGTGGGTGGTGGGGGTACTGGGGCTTAAACTCAGGGTCTTCACCTTGAGCCACTCCACCAGCCCTACTTTTGTGAAGGGTTTTTTAAGATAGGGTCTTGCAAACAATTTGCCTTGGCTGGCTTTGAACCATGATCCTCCTGATCTCTGCCTCCTGAATAGCTAGGATTATAGGTGTGAGCCACTGACACCAGCACATCTCTGTATTTTTACCCATTGAAATTCTAGGAAGAAGAGTCTGACCTAGTTATCACTCTTCTTATGATCAGAGATTTTCATACTTGTCCACCTAAGCAGTTTCTTGCCAGCCAAAGGATTGGTCAGGTTCTCCCTTGTCTTAGTTTGGGTTGCTATAACAAAATACCGATAACTGTGTAACTTATAAACAAGAGAAATTTATTTCTCACAGTTCTGCTTGATGAGATCATGGTACAGGCGTTTGATTATCTGGTGAGAGTCCCCTTTCTGTCTCATAAACAGAGCCTTCTCTCTGTGTCTTCCCATGATGGAAGGGGCTTGAGGCTTCATTTACAAGTTCACATCCCCAGGACCTAATCATTTCCACAAATCGCTACCTCCTAATACCATCACTTTTTTGGACAGGATTTCAACATACAAATTTTTATTTCAGCATAGAATTTTTGTTCAGATCATGGCACCATTGCAGTTGCAATCAGCAGCAACTTCTTGCTTGAGGAACAACCACAGATCACTTCCTACAGCAGGGACTCCTGGGCTGGGCTGCCTACAGTTACTATGTATAACTCAAAAGTGATGGAGGAGCTGGGAGAAAGACACAAGAAGGCTCTTCTCAGCCCAGACAATCATATGCAGAGCTATTAATAAGACAAAAAAAAATACTTGCAAAGTGCTTCTTGGGAGAAACAAATTATGTGAATTGTTAAGCACCGGATACTGAATAGTAGTTTTTTTTGTGGTACTGGGATTTGAACTCAGGGCCTACACCTTGAGCCACCCCACCAGCCCTTTTTTGTGCAGGTTTGAGATGGGGTCTCACAAATTATTTGTCTGGGTCTGGGTTTGAACCAAAATCCTCCTGATCTCTGTCTCCTGAGTAGCTCGGATTACAGGTATGAGCCACCACCACCCAGCTGGAATAGTAGGGGTGCTTTGTGATAATCCCCTGGTGATCCTTCCAAAACTTCCAATGCTTCACTTCAGAAATGCTCTTCTAATGGGCCTGGAAGTTACGAGTAATTTTTAGGAATTCTTCAGTGATTCCATATAGAGCCAATGTTGAGAACTTCTCCTTCAATACTCCAGTATTTTGCCTACCACCTTGAAGTTAGAATAGCATACAGATCAGGTTGTCACCACAAAAATAAAAAATTTCCAGTAATAGAATTTTCTACCACTATCAGATGCCACAATTTCAGAACCACATTTGTTATAGTTAGGTACTTGGTCTGTTGTTATTTATTAATATTGTGTATCAATTTATGGGTGATTAACACAATAGAAGGAACAGGCCCAAATTTGCAGAATCAGAACAAGTTTCATACTTCCTCCTTTCTTCTCCCCTCTCTTCACCTTCCTCCCTGGGTGTGGGCAGGCTGCTCCCCTTCCTTTTCCATCCCAGCTTCTGACATCAACCCCAGCTACCATCTCCTGGAGCCCACAGTCATCCTCTTCCCACACCTGTGAATTTATCTTAACTGTTTTCTCTACTGAGTCTCCCATTAATCCGTCCATGGTCACAGCCCAGACATAGGCAGTCTTTGTTACTGAATTTTAACTTGAATATCAAAATGTCGCAATCTCTTAGAGTTCATTTTGTTCTTTCCCCTGGAAGACATGGTTTCCTGATTAGCACTGCTCTTCCTTTGTGCAAGGTGGAGACAGCCCTTCCTGTTTTCTCTTATCTTTTCCTTTTTCAGTAGAGTTTGTATCTTTGTGTAGTAGTTACATTTTCTCAAGTAATTCCTGAACTCTCCCAACCTAACAATAATTAAGAGTTAATAGAGGTACACATTAATATGTAATCTAAGATCTCTGGAGTTGCCAGGAGCCTATCAGGCAAAATTATTTAATATATACTTCTAAGTGATCTGACAAAGGTAGTAAACTGAATTATTTGAGACTCCCAGGTCCTAAGAAGTTGCAAGCATTTATTACTCATCCAAAGAGGGTCTTGCTGTTTTAAAAGCCCATTATTTTCCACCTCTTTCATGTTTGGGATGTTTGCCATCCCAAACAAGAATCAAAGGCTACTTTTCTTTGTTATTTATTTATTGTCTTTTCTTTTTTAGTGCTGGGGATCGAACTCAGGCCCTCATGCATGCTAGGCAAGTGCTCTACCAATGAGCTACATCCCTACCTTGTCATTTATTTAAAATGCTACCTTTTATTGTACTTTACTAACCTTTTAATTGTAGTCATAGAAGAGGCCAAAATTTGAGAAAATGTATTTAGAAGTTGAATATTTCAGAGAGTTGGTTTAGAAGCTGTATTACTTGGCTTTATTCAAGATTTGTAACATCGTTTTGACAATCATCTTTTTTCCAGATGCTCTTTTGTTAAAATATTCCAAAAACTCTGAACTGTGGACAGCCCAGGAAACTACCGTGTATTTGGGGAACTACCTGAATGTGAAGAAGAAAGGCAAACAAAGAAATGCCTTTTGGGTCCACCATCTTCATCAAGAAGAAACTCTGGGGAGGTATTGTAAAACACCTATGTCACCATTGTAAAATGGGCTAACCCATTTGTGACATTTTGAAAAGGCTAAAAAAATTGATCAAAATGTGTGTTTTCAGATTTCTATTCTTTTTCGTCTTCATTATTAGTAAAGTAACTACAGTTACCACATGTTGAAGACCCATGTTACAGTGGCCATTTTGAGGGATGTTCTATATATATACATAATACATATGCATAATCTCAACCTACCAGGGAAACAATTTTAACACTGCTTATAGACAAGAAAAGTAGAGTACCTGGATAAACGGTGACCAGCAAGCCTTTAACACTTTTGCTATAATTGTTGTCTAAAGGCCAGTTATAAAAGTCCCATAAGTGAGTAAGCCTACAAAAAAAGGGCAGGAAAATCCTCCGAGTCAAGGAATGAAGCACACCCAGGGATGTGTGATTAATGGACCTTCCAATCCCCCTCCATAGAAATTTGAGGCAGGTGGAAGCAGCTAGAAACAAAAGCCACACAGAGAAGGGTGTGGAGTTTAGAGACCACTCACATAAATTAGGGACTGGAGAATGGCTACCTCCTCAACAGAAAGCTCATCTTTCAAAATCCTACCCCACTGGACTTATGTAGAGCTTTCTGCCTTAGTTCTTAATGAAAAGACTAAACAAAACTTCATTTGAAAATCAGTGACATCTTCTTGGGTTTGAGGCTTAATTTTACACCATGTATATAGTTTCATTTATTTGTTTGGTGATACTCGGGTTTGAAGTCAGGACTTTGTGCTTGTTGGGCAGGCATTCTACCACTTGAACTGTATCTCCAACCCTTTTTGTTCTGCATTTTTCTTTCTTTCTTTCTTTCTTTCTTTCTTTCTTTCTTTCTTTTTTGCAGGTTTTTGTTTTTTGGAGGGGAGGAGTTGAGCTCAGGGTCTTGCACTTGCTAGACAGGTACTCCACCACTTGAACCATGCTCCCAGCCCTGCTCTGGTTATTTTCAAGATAAACTCTTGCTTTTTGCCCAGGCTAGTCTGAACCATGATCTTCCTAGTCTATGTTTCCCACTGTAGCTAGGATGACAGACACACACCACCATACTCAGCTTTTTTTACATGGAGATGGGGTCTCACAAACTTTTTTGCCCAGGCTGGCCTGAACAATGATCCTCCCAATCTCAGCCTCTCATGTTGCTTGTGATGACAGGCCATTTATATGGTTTTAAAGACCTATAAGCCAAAAATAAATACATAAGTAAATAAGCAAATAAAAGACCTATTCACCAAAACTTTTAAAACTTTTAAAATCCAAATAATGTAACAAATAAGAAGAGAGAAATTGCATGACTCTTTAAATAGTAAACCCATATTTCTTTAAAAGCGGATTATTATAATACCAGTAAACATGCAAATGCACTGTCTGAAGTGATTTCTATACTAATCCAATTAATCCTCATAAAACCTTGTAAGGTAGGTATTATTATTGTCCCTACTTTACAGATGAAGGAACTGAGTCACAGAGATGTCAAAAAACTTGCTGAAAGTCAAACATATAAATGGTAAAGTGAGGTGCTATGAGCTGAATTCAAATGTTGAACTTTCCAGTACTCAGACTGCAAATAGAGTCATTTCAGACATAGTTAAGATGAGGTCATATCAGAGTAGGGTGAGCCATAGGGAGAATGCCATGTGTAGATTGTAGTTATGTTGACACAAGGCAAGGAAATTTCAAGTACTAGGAGAGAGGCTGAACAGATTCTTCCTTAGTGCCTTCAAAGGAAGCATGGCCCTACTGGCCCTTTGATCTTCGAATTCTAGGCTCTACAACTGCCAGGCAGCTTCTGTTGTTAAGGCATCCAGTTTGTGTACTTTATTACAATGTCCTTGGGGAACTAATACACCAGAATACATCACAGGAGGATCTGAGATGAGAAATACATAGAGATTAAGAGTCATGGAGAATGGAGTGAGAGAGTTCAATGTACATCGGATCTGAAGAAGATAACAGCAAATAGAACAGAAGCAGTATTTGAACAGAAAATTTCTGACAGTTCTCCAAAATTGCCAAAAGACACTAATCTTCAAATACAGGAATCACACTGAATTCTAAGGAGGGTAGAAATGGAAACAGGGAAGAAACAGAACGTGCTATAATCCCAACACTCAGGAGGCAAAGGCAGGAGGATTGTGAATTCCAAGTCAACCTGGGCTACCTTGTGAGACCCTGTCTAAAAAATGCCAAAAAATAAAAACATGAATGAATGAATGGAGAGAAGGAAGGAAGGAAGGGAGGGAGGGAGGGAGGGAGGAAATAAATTTGGCTCCTTAAATACACAGTAGTCAAACTTCAGACTACCAAAGACAAAGAAACAGCCATAAAAGTAATCAATAAAATAAAACAAAAACAGATTAAATGCAAAGAAATATCAGCTAGACTATGGCTGATTTCTGAGTAGCAGCTATGAAAGTCACAAGTAATGGAAGTCACATACTTGAAACTGTCTTTCATGGAAGGCAAAATAAGGACATTTGCAGATCAAAATAAGGACATTTGCAGATTAAAATAAAAATGACTACAAGAATATTACTAACAAGTCCTTACTAAAGAAAGTAAAATGGTACAAAGTGAAAAAAGTAATGGTCTTTTATTCACAGAGTGATAATCCATACTTGGGCTCAAGGTCCTCCAACAGAAAATTCAAGAAATGCTTCAGCATTGATGCCCACAGGATTGGCCCTTTTGTACACACCTCTGGCCTCAGTCAACAAAAACAAAGTTCTTAATTAGTTCAAACCCTCTTCAGGTCTCAGGTCTCTCCAGTGCAGAACAGGCAGAAGCACTGCATTACTGTTAGGACAAATGCTCCTCTCCTTTCTAATGCCACGTGGGCTCCTCCCCTTCAGACTCCACTTTCAGTTTCCTTTCTGGTCCTCAGAAGTCTTAATGACCCAACCTTAGCCTCCATGGATTCCTTTCCATATTGGTTTCAGAAATTTCTAAAGAGTTTGCTCTCACTGAGGTTTGTGACTCTGACAATTTCCTCTAATTTTTTGGAGGTTGCTCCAGCACATATGAAAGTACTCATAAACAGTAAAATGTAACACTTGCTGTCTTATTTACTCACAAACAGTAAAATGTAACACTTGCTGTCTTATTTAATCATGTACTGCCTTGTATATTCTCTCTCCAACTGTTTTACAAACCTTTGAAATATATGTTATTTCTCACACTTTCTTCAAAACACTCAGGATAGCACATAATTTGGTAGAAAATAAGTATTCATAAGAGTGGAAGAAGGAATAAAGGAAGGCTTCAGTTTAATTAATTGACATGTATCAGGTCACACTGCAGGTGGAAAAAGAAAGATCTGGCTTCAGAATTTTCACACACTCTAATATCCCATGCTCACCACTGCAGCTTACTGGAGAGAAGTGGAGAACATTACTGGACACTGTCTTTTTGTCACTATTGACATTCTGGGCCAGCTAGCATGAAGCATACTTCAGTGTCCAGGTGCCTCTTGACAAATTGTTTGAATCATGACATAAGTCAGGGTAACTAGTATTGACTGCGGAAGACAGAGAAAATAATATCAAGCATTTCTGCAGATCTCTTTATCTCCTCTCTTACACTGTGTAGTGAAGAAGATCATCTTTACATTTCATCACGTGGATTTTCTCCATTCACAGATATGTTGGGAAAGAGTATAAGGAGCAGAAGGAGCTCTGGCACCACTTCATCGATGTGGAGAGGCAGATGACCGCACAGCACTATGTGACAGAATTTAACAAGAGACTCTATGAACAAAAGATTCCAACGCAGATATTCTACATCCCATCCACAATATTACTGGTAGGCTTCTCAAAAGCAAGAGTTTGGCTAAACAGGTCTACAATTATATGCTAGCTTGGATTTCTGTTATCAAACTGAAGGCCCCGCCATTGCTCCAGTAAAATCCAATAAACTCAACCCCCAGGCAAGCTCAGCAGCTTCACTAACTTCATCTTCTCCAACACATATGGAAGAAATGTGACCCTATGTTCCCCAATGCCTCACTTAGATCTCCCAAGTGGCACTTGGGTATCAACCGATCCTGATATCTTGTCACATAGGTCAAGTGAGCCTTCTTAGTCTACTTTCTTTTTGTATTATCTCTATACTTTCAGAGAGAAAATAGCCTAAAATCATATCGAGTACAAATTGGTACATAAAGACTCCTGTTTTACATCCTTTACACCTGCCCCTTCTAACCAAGTGATACTATGCTGCAAACACATTTGGTTAAAAAAATATTATCACCTTTTTACTTTCAAATAACTTTAATTGCTCAATTATCTAACTCTACATGCATTTTCTCACATAATTCTCTTAACAAACCTAAAAAGGTAGTTATTATGGATGAGGAAATTGAAGTCTAGACAAACAAAACTCCTAAAATGGCAGAGCCTAGGTCTCACAGACATCTATCCAACTCCAGAGGCCCTGGGCCTAACCATTGCTCCACACTGCTTCTCATTTCTATTTTTCAGATTTTAGAAGGCAAGACAATAAAGGGATGCATCAGTGTGGAACCTTACATACTGGGAGAATTTGTAAAGTTGTCAAACAACACAAATGTGGTAAAAACGGAATACAAAGCCACGGAATATGGCTTGGCTTATGGCCATTTTTCTTATGAGTTCTCTAACCATAGAGATGTTGTGGTTGACTTACAGGGTATGTAAAACTGGGGGCTGTTTTTATTTTGAAAATACTTGCATGTAATTGTGAGTTTTGGTAACTGGCTTTGACAATCATTATGTAATAGAACGTAAACATATAGGCTACTGTTTGGAATCAATTAATTGATTTTATTCTGTGTAGCAAATGGTTCCTGAAAGAAAAGGATGCCTAAGACTTCTCTAAGTGTGTCAGGTGTCACATAGTCAGTGAGAGGGCCTGTATTATTTCTTCTGGGCTCCATTCCTGAGCCTATTCATAACAGATTTTTTTACTTCACTCAAATGATGTAGATTTGAGTGATTTGTAGATTTTTCTACTTTTTCAATTCTTGAGTCCTTTACTATTATTTCAAGAGTGATACTGAGTTTCATAATCGAGATTATTGTGGGACAGAAAGCTATATGTACTTAAATCTGACTTTTTAAAAAATCTATTCATATTTGAACTTTTTTCAGTTTGGTATTTTATTCATCAGGATTCATATGAATGAATATTATGCACTTCACATAAATGACAAAAGATTTATTAGAATGACTTCTAGTAATGATTCAATAACACCTGTTGACCTTCCCTGTTCCCCTTCCCATAGCATTTATCATCTGTGACATTGTTAGTTTTACTGATTCATATTAATCTATGTGTCTTCCTTCATAAGAATGTTAGTTCAATGAATACAAAGATTTTTACCAACTAGCTCTTTAACTACTGGGTCCCCAAGGTCTAAAACTCTGTTTTTAATGTCCAGTGTCCAGGCTCAGTAAATGTTGATAAAAGATGAATACATGAATTAGTGAGCAAGTTACTAAAGAAGCTTCCAAATCATGAAAGAAATATTCACTATTGCAATTTTATTAATTTTTCTTACCAAGCACAGTGATCATGCCTGCAATCCTAGCTACATGGGGGTGGGAGTACTAAGATTGGGAGGAACATAAGAGGCTCAAGCCAGTTAGGATGAATAATTGGAGAGACCACATCTCCAAAATAACCAGAGCAAAATGGACTGAAGAGTAGCTCAAACATGAAGCCCTGAGTTCAAACCCCATCCCTCCAAAAACAAATTATTCTAAGTGCATTTTATCACTTTCTAATTCCTTGAAAATTGGTGATTAGTTATGTCACATATGACTAATATAACTATGCAATATTCAATTCCCCTTTAGCCAATAATTGGATATGCAACCCAACATTCCTTAACAGAAACTTACTAATTATGAACCCCAGGATAACCAAAACTTTAAAGCACCTCTTTAGAGCATGTGTGAGTATGTATTTCCCCCAAAAATGTTTGACTGACATTATTGGGATTTAACACTGAGATGTCTTCATTTCTCTTCTAGGCTGGGTGACTGGTAATGGCAAAGGACTCATCTACCTCACAGATCCCCAGATTCACTCTGTTAATCACAAAAATGTCACTACCAACTTTGGAAAGAGAGGGATTTTTTATTTCTTTAAGAACCAGCATGCAAAATGTAATGAAATATGCCATCGTCTTTCTTTGACTAGACCTTTGATAGAAAAAACAAACAAGGCATAGTCTGGATTGGTAGCATGACAGACCTGCATGCTCACCAATGTCAGGTTCTCCTCTCCTTCTAGGCACACAAAACATGGCACAGCCTGGTCTGTTGGGGCTTAGGTGAGCCATGGTCTGACAGTGAGCAATGATTGTGAGAGGAATGGCTGCATGTCAACGTCACGTTGCATTTAATCACCAAGACAAGATCCTGCAAAGTCTCTTCCCTCAGCCAGTTACCGACAGTGTGCCAGGAGCCTCTGCAAGCATAAGTCTTACAGTGAAGGCAAGCCAACCAGCAGACAGATGATGGATGCAAAGCTCTGCTGAGAAATGACCTGAAATTTTAGAGCTTTTTGTCACAACCCGCAAGGACCAATACCATTTGTGATTTTCCCCATTGATTTAGGAGTTCTTTACATATTAAAAAAAATTCAAGCTTTTGTGATGTGAGTTCCATTTTTTTTCTGTTTGCCTTTTCATATTTGACTTCATATAAAACTTTAAAATTTTTTTATTAGGGTATATTCATTGTACAGGGGGGTATTCATTGTGACAAATCGAATAGGCTTATATTATACATTGGTTAGATGATTGGTTAGATGTCTCTCCCCCCTCAATCCCCTCCCTGCCCCACTTAAAGCAATTGTAAGAGGTTTCTTTGTTCTGTTTCATATAGGTATATGAAGTCCATCACCCTCACCTTCATCTCCTCATTCACTGTCCGCCCTTCCCACAAAACCCTCCACACATATACTGTAACTGATCTAACAGTCCTGGCTTTTGTTAATTAAATAATTTAATTGGTGATTTTCAAAGGAGGTATTCTTAATGTATCCTTGCTGTGAGGTCAACATTCCTTTAGGTCCATTTCAACCCTTCATTACACTTCCCATACCCTTTTACCTCTCAAAACCCCATTTTGTCAACACTTTCAATACAATATCCTTATATGCTCTACCTTCACTGATGTAGTTTATGTATGTGCTTATTGTTCTCTTTTCTTTTTTCCCTCCTTCCCTAGAGTTCCATAGAGTTGTTTCACTATATAAAAATATTCAGAAGATGGCAGCCTAAGAGGAAGGAGCAAGAAAGCTGTGCTTCCTAAAGTAAAATCTTGGGAGAGACACTGGAGATACACCTTACAGGAAAAACCACCCAGAAGAGCTGCAAAACTTTGAAAATCCTTCCACACCTCCAGCCTGCCGCATAGCATCTCCACTTTCACGTTAAATGGAGAAACCAGAAGGGCTCCCAGGCTGCCACCAGACAGCTTGGGAAGATGTGGACATAAGGTGAGCTATGTGGTATTGTACTTCCCACAGACAATCCTGGGCCAGATCAGCATAGCCCCTGGACAGAACGACCCTCGCCCCAGGTCAAAAAAAAAAAGAAACTGAATAATAACGCAAAAACAACAAAAAAGACACATAGCAAAGAAGGGTTGGGGCAACCCTGAGCTCTGAAGAGGGGGGAGAGGGGAAATGCCCTCACAGCCAGCTGGAGAAAGGCAGGAAGCGGTAAGCACACACCCAGCAATTCAGGAGTGGG